GATGTTTTTACTTATCTTCCACATTTTTCCAAACAAAACCAAGTAGATATATTTACAATGCACACGAATATCTTTCAAACTTTATATAAATTACTGTGAGTCTCGGGCTAGATTTATAACACGAAGCCACTTTGTACCGTTAAAATGTAGTGAATTATTTGGGCACACCTTTAGCAATAATAAATTCCTAAGATGTGAATCGATTGCACTGCAATAGTTTATTTCATAACTTATAATGATACAGCTATAAAACTACACATAGATATTTATGATAACTTGATTCAAACAAGCTCAACTCTTCAGCCAAAAGAATGCTAAATTTGTCGTGAGTGCTCAACAGCACGTAAGAATTTGCAGAATTAACACCGTTCCACATTTTTCATAGACAAGAAAACATTATCAAACCATTTGCAAAGCATAAGTCTTGATATTGGAAGCCTTATTCTAATGAGTCCTGGTGGTATATAAAAGGAAAGTAGTATTTCATGTAACAGTTAATAATATTTAAGCGTAAATATTGTACACTTCAAGAAACTGTCTTTCGAACATTTCGAGGTCGATGTTACTAAACAACGCCTAATTATATTACTCCATGTGTACATTTACCATTTACTTCATGACCTGCGTTGAATCTTGACCAGCACTCAGCAAAAACTGGAATAGTAGTTGCGTATATAAACCACTGCAGCCTCCGATATTGTAAACACAAAGTCATTAATATCAACATTTGTTAAATAAGATTTTAAACGGTCCCAATCAGTCCAATAACGCCAGTGTTTTTCCTCGTTGTAGGTTACACTATTTATGAGTGTTCTTGAGTCATGACAGAACATTTCAGGGTCAAAAACAGCCAAAAACATTTTTGGAAATTGTCCTTCGTGTCGTTGTAATTTCTCGCTTGAAGTGAATCACTAATGAATTTCAATGAATTTTCAACAGACTGGCGCATGCGCACGCCAAACGGCCCCTTGTTAGGATTGTTACGAGTTGTTTTCTTAATTATGTTTTTCAGCTAGACGTGATGCTGCGGAAATTCAAATTCTATCAGTGGAATTAAAGGTATATCATAGCTGCAATTATCATCTCCTGTATTCATAATTTTCATTGCTAATAACTAGGTCTAATAACTACCTTGTTACTAACATTCCTATTTGAATTCCTGTACAGGTGTTCTCTTAAGGGGACATGCAACTTCCATATATGGTTGTGCATGTGCACGGTGCTGATGTACACTTCTAGAACTCATTAATAATTCATGTGAGCTATCAGTCCAATGAGCATCGAGCTATTGGGTCACATGATGGGCCTTTATATCCCGATAAAGCACTAACGTTTTAGTAATCAGTTCTATATCAGATACACACAAATGATGAAATGAAATTTTTATTGCAACAATAACAAAAATGTGACGTTCTGTAATGTCAGAAATGTCCAATCTGTCAACCACCTGAGGACAGAATAAAGTAAGG